TGGTCTCAGTATGACGTTATTAAGTCTCCTCTGAATTTCATCCCAAGGATGTTCACTTGGGTTTAAGTCCAAACTAAGGGCTGGCAAGTGCATAACGCTGACACCGTTCTGCTGTAGAAAGTCCCAAGTAACTCTGGCAGTGTGGGCACAGGCATTGTCATGCTAGAAAACGTTCCAATGACATGCGAAATGTGGTATGACGTGGGGTCTGAGAGCTTGATCGATGTAGCACACTGCTGTTACATGTATGCTGCCTCCTCTCCCTGGACCAAGATTTTGGAATACCACAGGACCCACTCTCCGGTTCATGCTGATTCCACCCCAAACCATTATGCTTGGACCTTCCGAAGCCTGTAGATGGTCCGAACATTGACCTGGAAGTGTTTGGCAACAGCTTGGGAAGTGTGGCCAGCGTTGAGTCTTTCAAGCGCCTGGCTTCTCTGACTCAACCAGGTATGGGGGTGCATTTTATAGTGCTGGTCCAGGTGAACAGCACATGTAGCATGAGTTACATGGAGAACACATTACCATCCCAGAAGTCAGGTTTTGTTTTTGAGAACATTTCCTAGGTTCAATTCTGTGTTTGGGAAGGAGCCTTATTGCTCGGGTGAAGTTGGTCAGAAATATACAATAAAAACATTTGGCAAGTTTTATGCAATGGGTCTATTCAGAGTAACATACCAATCTGACGTTTCTTTTGCTGCTCAGTATATATCGTAGATTAAACCTTACATTAGCAGCAGGGGGGTTGGATATCTGAATGGTTAGCATGTGCACGATGTATCATAAGGTCTGTCATTGAATCAACTGGTGTGGTTTCGATTCCCGGTTGTACATGGCCTGTCCAACCTCGTGGGTTTTCTCTGGATCCTCTGGTTTTATTGTTGTAATAAAATTGAACCATGTGTTAGTCTCGAAATGACCTAGCTTGTGTTGAGTGGATTTTACTCCATTTCTCTCTGCCATATTAGCAGCATGTCATTACTGTTATCGGCACAGAATAAGATGGAACTAATGCAATGATTGAAAATTTAGTTATTAATTAACAGCTAAATTTTTATCAGAAAGTAAATGTTAACATTATTGAGGTGATACTTTCTTATGAAAGTCCTGAACTAAATGTACATATACTCTTCAAAAAAAGTAGGGGATATTGAAATGCAAATACCTATGCAGGTTGTGATATGATAAATAGTTATGGGCACTTGACTTGCTTTGAGAGTATGTTCACAGATGAAGAACTTATCGCCCCAACAGAACCACTGAGCTGCATGTGCAACACACAATAGCGCCATACACGTGGGAGGGGTTCATTGTCAAATTTGACACTTCAAGGAAGGGTTGATGAAAACTGCCGCGTGCTGGTTTATCCTATCCATGTTTGGTTTCCCATCGGTTCTTGCATAAGATTTACTGTTTAGTGTATCTTTGCTTTAGTGTGTTACGTTTAATTTGCAATGAGACGTTTTCATCATGATGAACGTCTACGTGCTATTGGCATGCTTCAAATGGTTTCTACACAGCGAGCAGTAGCCAGCATGCTTAATGTCTCACAGACTGTGGAAACAGTACCAACAAACACAATGCTGATGATAGACCTTGTTCAGGTCGTCCTAGAGCCACTACACAAGCCTAGGATCGATACATTCATACACAAGTCCTGCGAAATCGAGGACAAACGGCCAATCAGCTTTCTGTAAACTTGTACCAAGTTACAGGAATTCGAGTTACACCCCAAACTATTAGAAATCGGCTACATGCAGCCCATTTGCATGCACAACCGCGTGTTGTGCCTCCATTAACTCACCAGTACATGGCGAACAGGCGTCAGTGGTGTAGGCAGCGTAGAAATTGGGTTAATCGTCAATGAGCGTGTGTAATGTTTTTAGATGAGTCCAGATTTACTCTGGATTTCACCGATAGGCGTGGGTCTGTTACGGTGTGGGGAGGAATCACCATGACTGGCAGAACGAACTTACATTTTGTTCAAAGAAGGGTCACTGGTGTGTACTATCGTGACCACATCCTGGCACCGATAGTTCTGCCCTTTGCTAAATGTGCAGGTCCAAGTTTCATCTTTCAAGATGATAATGCCCGTGCCCACCGCGTTCGTGTCGTGAATGACTACCTCCAGCGTCAGCACATTGTCCATATGCCTTGTCCAGCCATGAGTCCTAAACCTTTCCCCTATAGAGCATGTCCGGGACATGACCGGGAGATGTGTTCGTCGACCTCAATGTCAACCGACAGCACTGCAAGAATTGGCAGTGGCACTGCAAGAGGAGTGGGTCAGATTGCCCCAAATCGTGATTGGACGGTTGATAAGGAGCATGCCACAACGAATTGCTGAATGTCTGAGGATTGGTGGAGCAATTACTCATTATTAAGACAAAAATCAAAAACCTCCATTTTCACTTTTGACAGTATCTCTTTGCGAGTGCAATGGAGCTGCCCATATGAACTGTTTATGTTCATGTGTAGGCAATTGGCCTGTTATTAACATACACTGGTTACCTCTAATAAAAACAGCAGTGCATTTCCGCAGTTTTGTATTGTTTCTGAATATCCCCTACTTTTTTTTTGAAGAGTATATATGGTCTTTTCATTACTGTATTTTATTATGGTGATCTGAATTTTTTTTACACACAGTACATGGAAGTTTATCATTTGAACTAACATACACTAGAGCTTGGGTTCACAACCTTTGGGTCGTGTCCCCCGCGGGGGTAGCGGGGCACTTTTCATGGGGTCATGGCGGACAACTCTGAAACTTTTGAAAAAATGCTATGTTTTCATGAAAAGCACATAATTCTCTGCTCTTGGAACATTATCAATCGTCTTTCCTCTCACTCTCACAATTTGTTTCCTCTGTCTCTCATTACATCATTTTGATCTGAAAAGCACATTTCTTATGGAAACTGGGAGAGCTTTTTTAGGGGACCGGTTTTTTTTCAATTTGTTGATGAAGCCGAAGAGGAGCTTTTTTCTGCCTTTCATTGCCGGTTTGAGTGAATGATGGGGATACATGATATTTGGTTTAAAATAAACTGCTCAATCAAGAAATATTGCTCATAATCTGTAAAAATAAATTGTCTGTAAAAGTATGTTACATCAAGGTCATTCATTCTCTCTTGTTTGTTTTACAACTTAAAGATTTTATCTGTACATGTAACTCTTGAGATAATGCCAATATATGTGATGTTTAATGGAGGGAATAGGAAAACCATTAAATTAACAATGATTAATAGTTACTCAAAAGTTAAGATATAATAATATGCTATTCAAAAAAAGTAGGGGATATTTGATTTTTAAGTGTTATTAAAGTCACCTAATGAAACTGACGAAGAAACAAATGACAAAATGAAATGAAGTTCACATTCATCGATTTATTCCAAATGATCGTTAGACTAAGTAAGGCACAGACTGACCATTATAAGGGTAAAATGATACCCGGGGTCAAACAGCAAAGTTACCACAGCATCACAACCAAGTCAGTAACGGGTAAATCCTCCTCTGTTTGCCAAACAAGCATTGATCCGACGTGGCATACTCCTAATGAGACGTCTAAGGTCATTTTGGTCCAGATTGTCCCATTCCTGTTGCAACACAGCAGCAAGTTCTTGGACATTGGCAGGACGTTGTTGACGTTGACGTAACCTCTGTCCAAGCATGTCTGGGACATGCTCGATGGGGGAGAGGTGGTGATGTTCTGTTGTTGGAGGTAACCTGTAACGATCCTGGCCCTGTGACATCTTGCGTTGTCATCCTGGAAGATGAAACGGCAGCCATGATGTCGTGCGAACGGCACAACATGGACTGCCAAGATGTTATCCCGGTAGTACTGGCCTGTAACACGCAACAACATGTAAAGCCGTTCTTCCAGCAACAGTGATGCCTCCCCACACCATAACAGAACCACCCCCAAATCGATCATGTCTGATGACGTTAACGTCTTGGAAGCGCTCGTTTCGACGACGCCACACCCTCCTACGTCTGTCCAAAAAATCAACAGTGAACCTTGACTCATCTGAAAACATCACATTGCTCCAGCGTCGATTATCCCAGTGTTGACGATCCCTACACCAACGACGTCTTGCCTGAATGTGATGATCTCTCAAACAAGGGATCACGCGAGGACGTCGGGCGCGAAGGTGACCCCTATGCAGTCGATTCCGAATCGTCTGGCCACTCACTCTCACACCAGTGTCTGTTTGAAGACGAGCGCTGATCTGATTTGCTGTGATGACACGATTTCTCAAGGCCAAGGTACGGATAAATCGATCCTGGGCTTGAGTTGTCGCCCTTGGTCGACCTGAGCGTGGTCTGTCCTGTACAGATTGTGTATCACGGTATCTGGACCATAGCCTGCTTATGACAGACTGAGAAACATTCATCGTCCGCGCCACAATCGCCTGTGTTGTGCCGATCTGTAGCATGCCAAGGGCACGTAACCTTTCATTTTGGGTAAGCCGACGCATATCAAAATTTGTTTTCTGGTCACTAAAACAATTAAACTGATGTTTCCACCCTGGAATTCAATGCCACAATGACTGTAACATTCAAAGTCAGAGTCGTGCAAATCTTGGGTTGGACCCCCATGATGATCCCAAGCATCACCTGCATTCCATGCGGTAGCTATTGGTGCGTTTTGGCGTCACATGTAACTGGAAATGTTTCTTCTGTTAGGTTCTATAGTGACGTTTTTCGTAGTCATTTGCATATTTTAGTATTATGCCCCCAAAATCAAATATCCCCTACTTTTTTTGAATAGTATATATAAAGTTAAATTTACTGAATGAACATAGATATTTTGTTATTGTTGGTTTATTTGAATCAGTCAAGCTGTATATAATGATTAGTATTGATCATTGGGTGTCTACGTGGATTTCTTGCCAACTACAATAATAGCATAACAGCTGTACAGTTCAGCATTGAACTAAGTCACTTCCATCAGGTTTTGATCACATTAAAAAGACGCAAATGGTCAAGTGATGATATTTTCGAAGGGTGTTTAATGTTTACTCAAGAGATGGTCCCTTTAGGACTACTAGTAGTTACAGAGTACTAACACCATCATGTCAATGACCAATTGACACAATGACATACAAGCATCTTTATGACGTCCCTGAGATTAAGTTTTCGATTGCAAAGGACAGTTACGGTAGTGAGAACACCTTTGGATTTATCATGTAAGCTGTTCATTTATTACTGAAAACACAGTTATCCAATGATACACAAAAAACAACTATTTTAAATTGTAAAACCTGTTGTTATCGATGTAAAAGGAAATTAAACTTTGAATCATTTGAGGACTGATAATATCAAAATTCAAATAAATTAAGTTGTAGCATACAAATTTTCCACACTGATATTTAATATCAGTAGTACTATCATTATTATATGGTATCCTGAATTATTCAGAATTAACATGCATGCAGTGCATGAGTGCCCTTTGAAATTAAAGTGGAGAATGAATCGATTTATACACTTGCATCACTTTGTAAATTATATTTGAATTACTTCAATATGATATTCATGAAAAAAGAGTGTAATAATACCGGTGAAATGTGTAATGCTGTAATTTTAATTCTTTTTTTTTTCTGATCTATGTCCATACATGTTGCATTTTTTTTTTTTGCGTTTTGTGATCTGTTTAGTATGGATGTACATAAATTATGAGACAACCCATTTTAAACTTAGTACAAAAACAGCTTTTGCATTTTGTGTACAGGTATAACATAGCCATAGTAATATTTTATTATCAGGTTTTATTTGTAAACTGTCAGAATCATTGATAAAGTATTTTTAACACTGGTCATTTAAACATCCCACAATTGTTATAAGCTATACAGTTACTGTAATTGCCTACTTCTCAGCGAAATAAATTAGCCTATGATTTCAATGACATTATATAAAGGAAAATGAATGAATTGTACTAATTGTAGCGGAAAGTGGGCAGTAAACATAAGTATGTCACAAGATTTTTAAGTGATATTTTACTCTCATTGGTTCAAATAGATTTTCAGCATGTCTTCTTATTAGCTAACGAATGTAACAGAATATGAAGTTAATATTGTAAAATAGTCAGTTTTATCAGATGTGTTAACTTTACTCACTTCCTCAAAGGGTTAGATTAAATATTACTGATGATAAGAAGTCATGGTATGAGATACATAGGGTCGCTTATATAAACTTGTTTATTTACTACTTAATAAGCTTATTTATTGAGCAGAGGTAAACATTGGTACATGTATAAGAACATCCTCACCAAAAATTATTTGTTGGCTTCATTATTTTACATGAATGAATAGAATGCACAGCTGTTTCTGGCTTAAACAGATTTATGGAAAGTATGTTCCATCAGTGTTTAACTTTAATATATTGAAATATATTATGTAAATATAGACAACCTTCCTTGGACAATTTAGCTTTTGTAGGCATATGTTTCATTGCCTTTACTTTATCAGTTACTGGTTTTAGTGTTAATGTTTTAAACATTTTTTATTCTATTTTCAGTCCCCTCACAAGTCAATGATAGTGGACGACCGCCAACACTAATAACACCTAATTTAGATTCTCCATTAAGTCAAGTGTCCAGCGAAGACCTAGATTTTACCTCACCAGATGGACCTAGCAAAACTAACCCTGGTAATCCTAGACCAGAAAATAAAATGGATACTAGTATAGGATCAGTAGGTGATAGATCAGTCAGATCTATGGACAGTGATAGTTTAGGACCAGGTGGAGATGCTGGTTCTCCCAGACGTGCCAAAACAATGCGAACAGAAACAGATATTATGAAATTATCTGCCATGTCAGGAGATGGTTATACCGATAGTCTTTCAAGCAGTCGTCCTGCTTCTGCTGCCAGCTCCAGAAGTCCATACAAAGAAAAAGGTAGGCAGATTTAATTATTTTATGAAATTGTGTAAAATTACTGGACTGTATCTTGATGTACGAGGTAATACATTATCAACTTATGTAAAAATGTATTCTAAACTACAAACACAGGATACTGAGTAAAACAAACTATTTATAGTAATTAGCATCAGGTTTTATTACATACTGGGTACCAGTACATTATATATTGTACATACACTCTTGGGTACAAGAAAACCTGACATTACTTACACGTACCTTTCACCAGTTTACAACAATAATAACATTGTATGTCTATATGTCCCTTGATGATTTTGAAAAATCTTATGGAGTCTCTAAATTGCAAATTTATATCTTTAGCTCAATCTTTATAAGATTTGATCATATTATTCAAGAAGAACAGACCTTATTTTTAAAATGGAATTTGGGAATCTTGATTTTCACTGGGTCACCAGCAGATAATATCATGAGAATACATTCTTATAGATAATTTCTGAAAATCTGGTCTCGACATACTCTTTCTTATGATTTATTGTATTACATACATGTACTTCAGAAGTTTTTGTGATATTCAGATTTTAGTTTCTTCATTCTGATACACAAGCACCTTTCTGAATGCTACTATTTTTAATTTGATTTGGTAGCACATGATTTTGTAGGCTAAAACTTAAAGTTCAGAACTATTTTTGGCATTTGAAAATAAAACAAAATGTAAAATACAGAGAATTTTCAATTTACAACATACCATCTAAGTATATCTTTTTGCACTTGCAATGTTATTCAATGCGGTAACTTTTTTATGTTATTGCAGAGGCTGAGAGGAGGGTTAAGGAACGTGAAAAAGAAGAAAAGGTAAGATTGGCCAGACAACGAATGGCCGAAGAAAGGCAGAAAAAATTAATAGAATTAAAGGAACAACAACGAATAGCTCAGGAAAATCGTGAACGACAGTTACAACTGAGAAGAAAGAAGATAGAAGAATTAAGACGTAGAGAAGATGAAAGAAGAGCTGCTGTAGAGGAGAGAAGATTAAGAAGAGAAGCAACTGAAAGAGTAAGAATTTTATTATCAAATATTATGGTGAATTGGTAACAATCTTTAACCTACAAAATTCTATTACATATACTTGTTAAAATCTACAAAACAAAAAAAATATAGTTGTAAGTTATAGACTAGTTTATCCAGACACAATATAATTTCTTGTGAAGACAACTGGGCCCGATTTATAGAGAATTCTTAAGCACGTTCTTGTGCTTAGATCTTAAGTAGACTTTGCATTAAAGTAAACTTACCTTATTTTGTGTTCCCAGAAAATACTTTTAAAAACATTCTTGTGCTTAGATTGTAGGTAGACCTCGTAGGTTTTCTCCTGGCCCTCCGGTTTTCTCCCAGTGCCAAAGACCCCTACATGCGAATTATTGAAATAAAATTGAACCATGCGTTAGTCCCAAAATGACCTAGTTTGTGTCAAGTGGATGTTAAACCCCATCTCTCTCTCTCTCTCTCTCTCTCTCTCTCTCTCTCTGCCAAGCAAGGTATACTGTTTGAATGGCATTTAGTAATTGAGCACATTAAAAAATAAACACAAAGTTATATGGATATCCATATAACTTTGTGTTTATTTTTCAAGGTATACTGCTTGCTTACCAACCTTAAGTCTGTTTCTTCTTCAAACAAGTGGCTGACCGTAGAGATATTCGACCGTAGAGATATTCGACCGTATTTCCTACATTTTTTGATACCAAAGAGACAATTAAAAGGCAGATAAAATCCTTTAGAAATAGATTCTCGAGAAGAATGCTGTATTAGAATATTTCGCTTAAACCCTGAAACCATTTTATTTATTTGCCAGTTAGTAAACAACACAAACATGGGCTACATGTACTTTAACATCAGGCGCTCTCACAATTATTCCGTCTGTTTGCATGTCCTTGCGGTTTTTTTTAGCTTGTGGCACATTTTATATGTATAGGGACTTGTCAAATGCATCTAAATCGACCATTTGCCGGGAAGTTAATGTCATTGATCTATTTATAACTTTGTGCAGCCGACCAATTTATGACGTAATTCGCATACCAAAATTGTTTTTATGACGTTAGAGAGCATCGTAGTCTCAATTTACCGGTCACAATGTGCTTTGACTCATTCTTGACTTGTGCTTACGTAAGAATGGTCTTCAGAATTTTAGAGACGGTATTTTATAAATTTTCTTAAGTAAGAAAAAGTGAAGCATGACTTTTTGCTTACTTTAAGAATTTTCTAGGAACCAAACCCTGGTTTGTTATTTCTTTGAAAACGTATAGCGGAGCTTTGGATAGTTTTTTGGGGATCAGAATATAAAAAGTTTTAAGAGCATAACAGAATTTAGCAAGTTTTATTCACTGAAAAATTCTGGGATCGCGGACTGGTGGTAGAGACTTTAGGTCTGGCATATACAAAATTTTCACCCGGTTTCTTACGGCTGGTCTGCGAGTTACCAAACCCTAGGACCTGTGTGTGTCAATTCATGCACGGTAGGTTGTCCGTTAGACTTTACATGCATGTAAGACACTGGACACGCACCCTTATTACCATGGGTTCAATTCCTGGTGTGGACAGAAAAGAACCTTGAGGTGTGATTGATTAATGGTATTAAATACATGACTAGACACTTTTTAAAAATTTGTATGACTATGACTTGCAGTTGTTTACATTCCTTCTTGTTTAACCACTGTCACATTACGCATAATCTATAACCTTTTACTTTGTACATGTTTGAAAAATGTTGATGTAAAATTTTTAAGATAACCAAATTCAATAGAAAGCAGATTAAAATTTTATGAAAACCTTATGAAAATATCAATGTACAAAATAGCCAAATTTATTAGAAAGGTGCTTTAGATTTAATAAAAATCTTATGTAAAATATTATCGATATACAAAAGAGCCAAATTTATTAGAAAGCTGATTTAAATTTAATAAACCTTATGAAAAATGTCAATGTAGCCAAATTTATTAGTAGAAAGATGATTTAAATTTAATGAAAATATGAAGAAAAATGTCAAATGTAAAAATATACCATTATAATGATATTTTTAAGTTTCAAGGTTCTGTACAATAGTTCAATAACTAAGAGTTAATAAAATCAGAAAAAGAAAAACAAATCTTTAACTGTGGATGAAAAGAAATGATTATAGTTATGTGAGCGATCTGTTTGAGCAGTGTGTAGTCTGTGTTTCTGTTGACACCATGTGACTTTTACGGATCTAAATAAACAGTAGAACAACAACAGTATGTGAAGCTTTCCAGCTTATTTATTGAATATTGTTTGTCGACTTGTTGTTTCTGCTACAGCAGCTAACAGCTGGTATGGTCGGCCATTATGATGGACAGCTTCCTACAGATTAGTCACAATGTACATGTACATGTAGCAAAGTATACTCAACAATCAATGTAAACATAAATTTGTATGGCTATAAGAACCTTAAAGTCATATGATTATTACTAACGCCCTTAAGAACTGTATGACATTATTGGTTTTTTTTCTTCACTTGATGCCAATCATTAAATAGGACAAGCATATTGATCACCACTCTAGCTGACTTTTTATAAGCTTAGATCTGCTTATCATCGTTACTATAAATATATTTTTTTTTTCTATAAAATACCACTACATCATCTGTAATTTATTTGTTCTTTAGTTGTAAATCAATTGATTAATCACACATTCTCTTTCATTTAAACCTATCACGATAAAGTACAGATGTAGGCATAATTTATTTGTCTTTCTTTTTAACATATTATTGATTAGTAAAAAGATATGCTAATACTCGAGTTTTAAAAAGTGAATATTAATATGTGAATAAAAAAATGAAGGTAACAAAGAGCTTGTCAATGGTTGTCCTTAGGCTATCAGTGACATGACCCTGCATGTAAAAATAATAAATTTGTCACATTCATGGATGACTAAAAGGCTTTTCATCATTTTTCTGATGAAGAATATAGAAAATATGATTTTAACTTGCACAATACAGGATATTAAGCCATTACCATAACAATTTTGTTGAATTAACTGGATAAATGCAATGTTAATTTTTGATAGTTGTATAATGATCCTATATTTTGACATGTATTTCCAATTTGTTTAATCAAGTGACAAAATGTGGAACATGCTGTAGAACATGAGATATTATTTTTTTATTTTAATACTATAACAACAGTTATAAGCTATAACTAGTCACAGGATTTAAGAAAATGTTAAGGTTAGCCAAGTGGCTTTTATACCCATTGACCCGTGTTAAAACCATATTACAAACTCCATGCTACAAGATTTTCTATATCATAATTTAAATATCAAACCAAGAGAACAAAACAGGCCGCTTTTATTATTGATGGTTAAACAGAATATGATATTAAACAATTATGTAGCACACACTCTGATTGAATAAAATGGGATTTTTTTTTACCGAGTTGTAAAGGCATTGATAATATGAATAGTCTTTACAACCCAGTTTGACAACATCTGTGGGCTTTCTTTTTTAAAAAAAAATCTTTGTAATTTTAAGAAAGAAAGGAAATGAAATTCTTTTGTTATACTAGAATCAAAGACAGTGTCTGTATTATATTGTAGAACAATTACTACCTGATGCTTGATGGTGTACATGTATAACAAAGAACTCAATCAAACAAAGAACCAGAATCATCTATTCTTTCATAATGTTCATATGGCATCATTCACAAAGACTTTCAGGGAAATCCAGATTTCTAGTCCATTCCATGTTTTCTCTTGGCCATAAATGGATAACTTTATAGAACCTCTGTTTTATGGCAGTAAAGTCCTGCCCTGGATATTAGATTCTGTGTTCTTGCCATTCTGGTTGTTAATATTTCCATATATTTACATGGTGAGTCTTTGCACGCATAAAAATGATATATTAGACTTTTAATCAAATTCTTTTGAAGCATTCATTTCTTCTATGATTCTGTGCTAAATTACAATGTTCTATTTATTTTACAGAGTAAACGAGAAGCCATTTTACAGCGAGCATCTGAACGTATGACCAGATACGAAGCTTGGAAGACCGGCGGTAGAAAAGGTGGGAGTGGTGGAGTATCTGGCTTTGGAAGTCGCACTCCACGTGATATCTGCAAACCCTCTGATAGACCAAATCGGTCTTCTTCGCATAGTGCGCTAATAAGACGCTCGCCTAACAGTTCTGACTGTGGCTATATGTCCCCTCAACGCCGAGCTATATCGGCCTGTAGTTCTGTGCGCCGACACTGTTGTGTTGATATTAACCGTACTGGTAGGTTTAACACTATTAATTACTCACAACAAGATAGTACTGGGATACAGGACAGTCAGGTTATTGGTGGTGGTAGTCTTAGAAGCTTTTATTGCTTTTTAGTTGACAGTCACAGTATATATCAGCTCTGTCTGATGATGGGTCCTTCTGTTTATAGACGTGATGTTATCTTATCATACATGATATATCATAATTACTTCTCCCAATCATATCATCCTCTTATATCCAAATAATCATACAAAAGGTGAAATTGAAACTTGACCCCATGAACGATTTATATGAAAAGACACCACTCTAACCACTGTCAGCAAGTTATTTTGTTATCAAATGATAGGTTTATTTTATAAATAAATTAAATAAATAGATTTACAACTTCAATTAATATCAGTATATACAAATTTTAAATACCCATAAAAAAGTAGAAATGTTTCAGGACTAATAAATAAATCTTGATGAATTCCCTTTAAACTGGTCATCAGTATGTTTTGTGTGTGGTGAAATTATGTAAATGTTGTTTTTTGCACAAATTAAATAGAGTTAGGCTGCTATTTGATTTAAAACTTCAAAAAGCTTTCTCAAATATTAGTGCATGCCTTCAAATTTTTTTGTCTCAAGGATAGAATTAAATCATGCATGGTTATCAAAAGTTTTAAGTAAATATAAGAAAGCATGAAAGTGAATCGTTCAAAGCATGAAGCTATGTGAAAATGACAGATAGTGTCAAAAATTTGAAAGATGCCTAAAAGCATGTCTTATTGACAGAATGATCCATACCCTCAGTATTAGCTTTAGGGTTTTGTCTGATTGTAGTGCATCCAAGTCTAGATTTTCTAATGATAGAGACACCTTATACATGTCTTAAGTGGATTTTGGAAGCTTAAACTGGATTAACCAATTATTCAATCAACTTGTTTTTAAAATGTAAGTGATTTCTGGATACAAAATGCTGGTCAAATGTAGTTAAATGTGGCATGTTGTTTATGTCAGATCAGAGAATCTAGATTTCAGTTTGCTTCAATCAAGCATAACCCTACATCACTTTCTATTTTTATTGAATTTTTACTAAAACTACTAATCTACTGACACACTAACACTCCCCCCATATATTCATATCTTTGATTAGGAGAGATTCACAGACGCTGAATTCACAATGACCTCCCTGTGACATGCAGGCTGTTTATTTGACGACTTGACTCATTCATTTCATTCTTGGGGTCTTTTACTTTGAATATTTTCATTATTTCCCCAAACATTTTTATCTTTTATTTTGCTTTTATTTTATAATGGTGTGAATACAAATAGAAATTTGTATCTTGAAATCTAATAACCGAATTAGATTACATTTGATAAAAGTATGGTTGTATTGGCTTATTATTCATTCATACCATTATTCTAAGTAGAATGATAGAAAGATAGATGTTTACAAATTCTATTAGATTGTGTTTTCATTAATGTTTTTAACATTATTCAGATGTTTTCATGACATGTACCGTTAATAGTGTTTCCAGTTGGTTGCTAATACATGTATATAGGGCACCAAACTTTTCTCCCCCATATCAAAATGTGTTGTTTTAATTACATTTATCAGAATCGATATATATGATAATACACAAATTGTACACCAGCTGTAATAGGTTTTAGATTTACAACATAACACACAGCTGTCACTGTCATTGGCAGAGTTTGAAATCTATTAACTTACAGTTTGTTTATGTTTGTCAAAATTGATAAAAAAAATCCTATTCTTTCTACACAAAATAGAACTTTACTTAAATCAACAAACAACTATTAACCTTGTCATGAAAACATCAAATAGTGTATTTTATTAGTTCATGTAGATTGTTTTGTTGCATATTTTTAAAATGATTTTTATTTTCTAGTTGGTACAAATTAGATGCAACCACCTGTTTTTTTTTGCATCATATTTTGTGCATTTTGCTTTTGCTCATTCCTTTAGGCCAGAATCCTGGAGCACCTCTTCCACCCTCTAAACATTTATCTGTTTCCACGAGTGTGTTATATCATAAACGAAATCCTGAGTTTTCCTCAACTGGCGGTGGGCTGAATCATGCACAACCCGGTTCATTACTCGGTAAGGCCACGACTTGGTGCACAAGACCACCATTATTAATACTATAATAATATATTGTTCTGTGAGTGTGTGGGTCAAAGATAAAAATTGAGAAAATAGTAAAAATCGTAGAGATGTATTTCGTGTCTGGTAAAATTGTGAGCAAATGCATGTATTTGTTATGTTTTGAGAATGTTTTTCTTTGGCTTCTTGTTGCACGTTTTTAGTTAAATTTTTATTTGCTATTTTCCGTTTTTAGTTTACACATTTTTATTTTGTCATTAGCACTCTTTATTTCTTGTAAAAAATGCAAATGAATCTTTTATTATCGTGTGTCCAAAATGATTGAATAGCTCGTAGCCTATGTACAAATGCATGAATGCATTTGTTATTATAGTATGTTAAGGTATCTGTATTGTAAAAGAAACCAGTTTCAAGAATCAAAATACAAAAATAATTGATATATTGAAATCCAATTTGGGTTCTTACAGACAAGCAAGAAATAATATGGGTGTTTGATATTGTAAAAAATCATCTAACTTAAAATTGCATGTTAGCTCACACCATTGCTTTATTTTGTGTGTCTCACTTTGATAAGAAAAAATTAACTACATACTGACACACATTTTATACATGTTGTGCTTATAAGGCATGGTAAGCAGAAAGCTGCAGTGTGATTATGGGAGATAACTCCTTATTTTATTGAACGTTTTTATGGTCCCACATTTTCATGTGGACATAAGATTTTCTCTGTTCGCTGTGGACTAATGCTAGTCGATTATAACGATAAACAAATACTGTCAAAACATACCAGTAAATTTAAATTCCTTATTGTTAATAGAAAGTACTTGTAGTTTTTCAATTACACTGACTTTGAAAAGATAAGAATGTACTTATTTATTGACATGAACAAGTTATTTTTTGTTTAAATTTTTGCGTAACAAGACAATGCTTCTCTTTTGAGTAGTTGATCAAAAAGCATTTTATACCAAAATAGCTTTAGATTATTGTGTGACTTTATTTTGATTTGATTTCTGTGTTGTGAAATTTCTTTTGTTGTGAAAAATATTTGTTGTGACAGTTTTGCTCTTGCACTATCACAGACACACAAAACAAACAATGGTGATGGGCACTCAATGATAGTTGTACATGGGAGTAATTGGAAATAATTGATTAATTATTTTTTCTCCCCTCTGTCTATCCTTGACCTGCCAGCTCTGAACACCATTCCAGAGGGTCGTCGCTCTTTTCTAGCACCAACTTCGTCTCCACCTCAACGTCCGAAGAGTACTGTTACCCTTAACACTGCTACTTCTGGCACCACAGTCAAATTCAGAGAAAATAAATCTCCACGTAAGCCAAGACCAGCTAGTGTGGCTACATCAATGCCAAGTTTTATGTCTAGTGAGAGCCCTAAAGTTCCCTCTCAGAGGAGTTTAAGCACAGACAGACTTGCGAAAGGTTTGTAGAACTTGTAGTTGTACGTCATAGAAAAGAATCAACAATATTGTTAACTCATTTGCTTTGAATTTGGGTCAAGGGTTGCTTTTCTTGTAGCTTATTCCCATACTTAACATGTTTTAAATTTTTCCTGCTTTCTTAGAAATAAAATTGACTTGAACTGTATCTCACTGGAAATTGAAAGGGTTGGGTTGGCTCAGGGTGGGGTTATCTTGTGGCTCTTTATTTAATTGTATTTTGGCTGTGTATCATTGATAGAAAAACGCCAGAAAATGCAAAAAGAGGATACAGAAGAAAAGCCGAAGAGTATGAAACCAACTGTTAAGTTTAATCGACATAGTATGGATAGATTATCAACACCTAAACAACATAAAGATCCTATGACGACCAGTGTTGAACTACCAAAACGAGATCCAATTATTAAGGTATATAAATATTAAATCCTCTTTAATTTATGTTTTAAACTTTTTACAAATCCAAATTCTTTGCACAATTTGTAAATACATGTGTAATTTGTTCCAATATCTGTTAAGAAAAGCACAGTCTTATTAAGTTCTGTAATTTGTGTATCAACCCTGTCATAAATAGAATTATTTTTATTTCAACTGGCTTCTTATTAATATAACGAAATTGTAGTCGGACACACATATATCTAATCTTTCAAATATTAAATAGACATTAAGTAGGGATTAAAAATAAAATATACATAATATTTTGTGCATCTTGTGAATTTGATATTGCCTTTATTAAAAAGTGGATACATGTTATAATGATATTTACCCTTTACTAAACCTTATTTTACCTAATTCGCCTTGAGACAATGACATGTAGCCGTGCATGATACCTGCATTTAAAACTTTGAGAAGTGAATTGTAAGATAAACCAGTGATTATTTGTGTGCTATATGTGTTGTTACAGAGGTCACCTAGAAAAGCATATTCTACTACTAATCTGGCTATGCCCAGAAAGGTTTGTCTCTTCCTCCGCATGCTTGTTTATTATTGTCTCTACTATATTAACCCTTATTATTGTATTGAAAATTTAAAACATATTAAGCACATTTAACTCTGTAAAATACATAGAGAACATTTTACAGCATTTAAATCACTATTGATAAGTAGTTCTATTCAAAGCACTTGCATGAAATTTATTTCTGGAGATGAGTTGCATATTATTTTTGTTTAGTATAAGAGTCGTTTTATAGTGCATTTTTGGAAGGAAATCGAGTGGTTGCCATAATTATTTTTTGGTGTGTAAATCTGATAACTTTTCTGGTAACAGTTTGTTGATTTTAAAAGATATTTCAAATTCTGGCAATTATTTTGAAATCAAAGGATGTAATTTTAATACTGTTCAAGAAATTATCAATTTATTGTCTTTGACAATACATGACAGTATTTTTATGAATTTTTCTGTAAAATGTTCTTTGGTTCAATATATAACTATGTATTCTAGAAAGTGTATAAATAATATAATCCTACAAATATATTTCTGTCATATATATTGGTACTCATTACATATTGCATTAAAATAGAATACATTAAGTGATGTAATCGATACTGCTTGTGCATCTTTTTGTTTTCACTATGTTACAAGATCGGATCATAACCTGAAACATTGTATTTAACCTAATTATATACACTAGTAATTAAAACAGTTATATGCTAACAATAACTATACTCTAGAAAGCTCCAAGAAAGATAAGAAAACATACTAACTAAAGCAGCTTTCCGTACAATGATTAACAGATGTGAAGCTTTCTAACCAAGACATTATCTCATGCACTTATCATAGTTATATCTAACTGTAAAAGCATAAACACTGATCTGTAATTTTAATCTTGGTATGACATTTTGTGACCTGTCACAGCAAAGTCAGTCGGAAGTCGCAAGTCATTGTTACGATGCAGATGTACCGTATGAACAAAAGTGTCGAAATACACAAAAAATGTAAAAAAATAATATTTGTTTGCTTTATTTGTCAAAACTTTTACCTTTTGTGTTATATCATTAAAATATATTTTTAGTCTACCAGTATTTTAACATTTTAGTTCATATTATCAAAGACTTGCAACTTCTGACACATTTTTCTATCACGGGTCACATACTTTAAAATCTATGTTCTCATTGAACTGATGGGTTGTTAAATGTGGTATACTATTATTGCCGTAAAACAATTTTTGATTTATTTTTTGAATGAATATTGTGTGTTGAAGATTGTATTTTGCTGATCATGTATTTATTTCATTATTTACCTGCATGGTGTATATATACATGTATGTATGTCCACCTGGTGTTCATTTCATATGTAACCCATCACTCACTCAATCAAAGTCAAATAATCAATATGTCCGCAGTGAAAGATGAAAAGTCAGTTTCATCACTATTTCATATCTGTTAATCTGTTCACTGCAGCATTTTTGCAGATTAAATTTATCCTGTTATTCTTGATCTACTAAATCAATAAGTCACTTCATCTTGGGACTGCAAGTGTTCATAATTTGTCTTTTTTTTCTTTTCTTTTTTACCAAGAAATATTTTAAAAATGAAATTGACATCTAGCATATGTGAGGAAAACCCCATTTGTCACTCACTCATTGATATACTTGATTTTTTTCAGTCTCTACCTGCTAATGTGAAACTTTCTAAAGAAACACCAGCTAGACTACAGAAGGGTGGTGGTGATACTGAAGATAAGAAAATAGCGGTGGTGAAACCATCTCCTAGTACTGGTGGTAGTAAAACAACAAGCAGTATGCCACCAATAAAACAATCTTTAACACCCCTCGCTAAACCACAGCCTGCTGCTAACAGCACACCTAAACCTGCACCGACACCTGCAGTAACTGTAGATCCACCAAAAGATGAACAAAAAGATGTGGAAGATTACAAAGCTCGTCTGGCAGAACGTCGGCGTCTGGCAAGAGAAAAGGCAGAAAAAGAAGCAGAAGAAGAAAGGAGAAAACAAGAAATCTTTCAGTAAGGGAGATAACTCTTGTTCAACCTCACTTAATCATCTCCTTCCATTTAAAATGAAAATGTCCATAAATAATAAATTGACATAATATATACTAGTAGTAAGAAGGTGATACAAAATCCATGTTTTATAAAGTATAATATTCTATTGTATAATAACAATAATTCAACCAATATTGGCACCTTGATATTTATAATTATTCTACCAGTTTATCACAATATGATACTCTTTATTGACAGTGTATCACGATTCTTTAATATATGTATTGATCATTGTTACAGCCCTATTAATTAAATTCTAGTATATATATCATTTATGATCAGCATATGTACCGGTATTAGTTATTGTCAAGATGCTATTATTAAAGCTATTATAATTCTGAATGTGTAATAATTTTTATTTGTAGGTTGCAAGAAGAAGAAAGACAGAGACAAGAAGAAGAAGAACAAAGAAAGATGGAAGAAGAGGCGCTAAGATTAGCCGAGGAAGCTAGAAAGATAGAAGAAGAACGTCTACAGAAAGCTATTGAAGCGGAAGAAAAGAGAAGAGAAGAAGAAGCTAAGAGATTAGAAGAAGAAAGAATAGCTGTATGTATTGCTCTTATATTTTTCTCACATCAATATAGGTTCAAAACCCACCTTTGGTTGGGGTTTGTAACCAAGTTAGCTACAGTGCTAATCTGTTATGATATAATTATGCCAGTCACCAGGTTCATTCTATTACACACATGCAAGTGCAATACAGATGTCCATACTACATTGTAAGTTTAGTAGTGATAGCATGTGCACTGTAAACATAAGGTAACCTTTTGAGTCAAATACTTGATAAATTTACTGTCATATTACAGAAAGAAATGGCTGATCAGAAAGCACAGGAAGAAGCTGAAAGAATGGAAAGAGAAAGATTGGAACGAGCAAAGAAAGAAGAAGTAGAGAGAGTAGAAAGAAAAAAGGTATACTTGTCAGACTTATAGTTGTTATATTGGTAATATTGTTTCTTGGTAACATTTTAAAAAGGATTACATGTAAATTACATGTTTTAAATACATTTAAAACACCAAATAGATTTGAGTAAGTTTGAAACTAATATATGTAAAACTACACAGATTTGGGTAAGTTTGATATAAATTTTATTAACTAATACATGTAAAACTAAACAGATTATATTTAGATGTACTTAACTAATACACAAATAAGTTAGTAGAGAATAAGTTTGAATTAATTCATCATTTATATAATTTACAGAGGTTAGAGATGATAATGAAACGAGTTAAAACTGATGGACCATCTGACACAAGCCGGGTAAGTCTCTTTATATAAATTTTTACATGTATGAATCTTGCTTAGAAACTGTACTATAGGTACAAATGTTTGTCTGTTGATCAAAAAGTCCTACATTTCATAAAGATATTTATCTAACTTGGAGTATTCAGTTGTATTTACGAGAGAAAGGTCCCCTATTAGTTTTGGTAGCATTTTAATCCAGATTTTAGGGAACCTCACAGTTCTTAGTGAAAGGAGATGATCCTACTAATTTTAGCTGTTTTGCTTTTGCATTACAGAGTTATGACCCTTGATTCCTAATCATTGTTATCCCTCTTGATTACAAAGTTTCAATCATGCTATGATGAATTGTAATTTAGGAAAGATTACTCCTGTCCATCTTAATTAATTGTTTGTTTCAGTGTAATTGGCATTTAATCCGCAAATTTTATCAATAACAGAACATGTAATCTCTTTGACCCCCCTCAATACCCCACTCCTCCAAATGTGCTTTGATTAATCTTGGTTTTGGATAGCCTCTCTATCGATTTAAAAGTCTTAAAGATATATCTTTACTCACAGATTATTAACACACTTTACAGATTTCATACAGACAAAATGTTTACAAATAACTTTGGCCTATGTTTTTCAGACGGAGTCTCCTAATAAATCTATCTCTGGATCTCCTAGTAAAAGTACAGATTCACTCAATGAGAATGAGGATAAACAGAATCCAATTTCTAATTCAAACTCTGAGGAGGAAATCTCCAGACCTGCATTAGACACAATTGATGCTGCACAGTTTCAAACTCCTGATAGACCTACAGATGGTGATAAACCACGATTCCGTTCCCCATTATTACAACAAATGGTGGAAAACAAGTCAGATTCTCCAAGCAATGATCGTCCTAAATTCAAGTCCCCTCTGCTTCAGAACCTGTTAGGCAAAACGAAAGTTGGAGCTCGAATCGGGCTCGAAAAGGCACATGAAGAGTCCAAAGCAGGGGAGATATTGAATACGTTAAGGCAGAAAGAAACTCTCAGCTTTTCGTCTTCTCAATCACTGACTAATCTTAGTCAAACTTCGGACTCCCTTGCTGACAAGGAAGCATTGGAGAAGAACATGTCAAAGAGTGTCTTTAATATAAATATGAAGGACGAAGACAAAGATATAGATACAACCGAGTCAGAAAATTCTTCAATCGTTGATGCTAAAGAGGCTGATGCTGGACAAAATTATGATCAGAAATCTGTTGATGAGGATCTAGGCATGTCAGCCGATGATGAAAATACACAACTTATTGATAATAAACAATTTGATAATAGTGACACTTCAGTCCACACTAATGGCTTTACTGATTACTCAACTGATCAACTAGTGGAGATCAGTACAGAAAATGGCCAAGTGGAGGAGGACATTAACAAAAAAAGTGTTGAAAATGGTGTCACATTGAAAGGAGGTGCTGATTCAGGTGTGTTGATGGATCTAGGAGAAAGTGGAACTAGTCTTCATTCAATTCCTGTGAATGGCAGTATGTTACATGACCTCATTGATTCCAGGTAAGAATAGAAAACAATATGTTTGTATTCATTAAAGTCATATTTAGTGTCTCTGAAATAAGTTTTTCATTTATGCACATTATATTTGTTGTCCCCCGCCTTTCGAAGAAAGCAGGGGACTATTAAAATGGGTTCGTCCGTCTGTCTGTCCGTCTGTCCGTCCGTCTGTCTGTCCGTCACACTTTTTGGGACACAATAACTCTCTTCCTAATTGAGCTAGAATGTTCAAACTTGGTGTATGTGTTTATTAGGTCAATGCCTTGATGGAGTTCGAAGATGAGCATTTTCCGTTTAGGGTAAGCAGAGATAAGCAATTTGATTGGTTGATGCTTTGGGACACGATAACTCTCTTCCTAATTGGGCTAGAATGTTCAAACTTGGTGTATGTGTTGATTAGGTCAATGCCTTGATGGAGTTCGAAGATGAGCATTTTCCGCTTAGGGTAAGCAGAGATAAGCAATTTGATTGGTTGATGCTTTGGGACACGATAACTTTTAATTGAGCTAGAATGTTCAAACTTGGTGTATGTGTTTATTAGGTCAATGCCTTGATGGAGTTCGAAGATGAGCATTTTCCGCTTAGGGTAAGCAGAGATAAGCAATTTGATTGGTTGATACTTTGGGGCACGATAACTCTCTTCCTAATTGAGCTAGAATGTTCAAACTTGGTGTATGTGTTGATTAGGTCAATGCCTTGATGGAGTTCGAAGATGAGCATTTTCCACTTAGGGTAAGCAGAGATAAGCAATTTGATTGGTTGAACTGTTTGATTGTTCAATACTTTGTAAAAGATAATTTGTGATAAATTTATATGTGTCCTCTAATTATTTTCCTATTTCGGCGGGGGACATCAGCCTCACTGTTGGCTTGTTAATTTAGAAAAACATCTGCCTCAACCATGCCTGTACTAAACCTGCGCTGTCTGTCGACATGAGGACAGCTATTTCGACGATTTTAGTTGAAAACACTAGTATATTTCGAGAATTTTTATACGTCCACATGAAAATGTGGACATATTATGCCTCGTCCATCCACAATTTGTTTGTGGACATTCTACAAGTCACAATTTTTTTCCAATTTTGACGAAACTTAAAATATAGGTCTATCTCCCAAAGATATCGGTTCCTTTCGATATTGGCATGTATCAGACCATAACTTCATGGATTATGGCTCCTGATTGTACGAAAAATCATGTTTTTAGCTTGTGGACACTCTAGAGGTCTCAATGTTCACCTGATTTTGATGAAACTTGAAATCAGGGCTCGAAATTCGTTTTTTCGATCAAAGGCCAACGATAGGCCAAAGTGCAACCTTGATCCAAGGCCAAAAATTGAAAATCCAAGGCCAATTTTTAAGTCATGAATTATGATATTATCAGCTTATTTAGAACGTTTTAATATGTCGATCATATGTAAATCTGTTTATTGTAGATCTTGTTTCTCAGTCAAAATGTTGTTACAGGCCTGCCTTTCACAAAAATAATGCATCCTTTTTTAAGGGAGAAAATTCTTATCGTACCGTTTTTAGTAAGATTTTTTATTCTAAAAAATATTTTAAAAATCGGCATGTAGCCATATTGAGAGTTGAAAGTATTACTATATCATCGGTAGACCTGGGTAAGATATCGATAGTATCGATAAGATATGCCAAAAAGCACTATCGAGTACCGGTAGGCCCTATCATTCTCTTCGTCTATTTTTCGTGCGTGTGTAGGAGTCGACTCGATGTTTTCTGTGACTTAATCCTTCGTATATATACTATTCAAAAAAAGTAGGGGATATTTGATTTTTAAGTGTTATTAAAGTCACCTAATGAAACTGACGAAGAAACAAATGACAAAATGAAATGAAGTTCACATTCATCGATTTATTCCAAATGATCGTTAGACTAAGTAAGGCACAGACTGACCATTATAAGGGTAAAATGATACCCGGGGTCAAACAGCAAAGTTACCACAGCATCACAACCAAGTCAGTAACGGGTAAATCCTCCTCTGTTTGCCAAACAAGCATTGATCCGACGTGGCATACTCCTAATGAGACGTCTAAGGTCATTTTGGTCCAGATTGTCCCATTCCTGTTGCAACGCAGCAGCAAGTTCTTGGACATTGGCAGGACGTTGTTGACGTTGACGTAACCTCTGTCCAAGCATGTCCCAGACATGCTCGATGGGGGAGAGGTCGGGACTCAGTGCTGGCCAAGGTAATGTGGTGATGTTCTGTTGTTGGAGGTAACCTGTAACGATCCTGGCCCTGTGACATCTTGCGTTGTCATCCTGGAAGATGAAACGGCGGCCATGACGTCGTGCGAACGGCACAACATGGACTGCCAAGATGTTGTCCCGGTAGTACTGGCCTGTAACACGCCCTGCAACAACATGTAAAGCCGTTCTTCCAGCAACAGTGATGCCTCCCCACACCATAACAGAACCACCCCCAAATCGATCATGTCTGATGACATTAACGTCTTGGAAGCGCTCGTTTCGACGACGCCACACCCTCCTACGTCTGTCCAAAAAATCAAGTGAACCTTGACTCATCTGAAAACATCACATTGCTCCAGCGTCGATTATCCCAGTGTTGACGATCCCTACACCAACGACGTCTTGCCTGAATGTGATGATCTCTCAAACAAGGGATCACGCGAGGACGTCGGGCGCGAAGGTGACCCCTATGCAGTCGATTCCGAATCGTCTGGCCACTCACTCTCACACCAGTGTCTGTTTGAAGACGAGCGCTGATCTGATTTGCTGTGATGACACGATTTCTCAAGGCCAAGGTACGGATAAATCGATCCTGGGCTTGAGTTGTCGCCCTTGGTCGACCTGAGCGTGGTCTGTCATGTACAGATTGTGTATCACGGTATCTGGACCATAGCCTGCTTATGACAGACTGAGAAACATTCATCGTCCGCGCCACAACCGCCTGTGTTGTGCCGATCTGTAGCATGCCAAGGGCACGTAACCTTTCATTTTGGGTAAGCCGACGCATATCAAAATTTGTTTTCTGGTCACTAAAACAATTAAACTGATGTTTCCACCCTGGAATTCAATGCCACAATGACTGTAACATTCAAAGTCAGAGTCGTGCAAATCTTGGGTTGGACCCCCATGATGATCCCAAGCATCACCTGCATTCCATGCGGTAGCTATTGGTGCGTTTGGGCGTCACATGTAACTGGAAATGTTTCTTCTGTTAGGTTCTATAGTGACTTTTTTCGTAGTCATTTGCATATTTTAGTATTATGCCCCCAAAATCAAATATCCCCTACTTTTTTTGAATAGTATATATATATAATAATACAATAGCCTACATCGGTCACTTTATATTTACTTCAAAGTCTCAATCTCAATGTAGCTTTTTAAAAAAAATGTTAAAATAAATTCACCCACATTTAAACAATACTTTAGTTTGAAACAATAATCGCCATATCATGGAATTCTCTAAATTGGAGATACCCGGATGTGTAAATAATTCAGAGTTTTTCCACTTTCAGAATTCGTCTGCTCATTATAAATGACATAGCAATGATGGATGACAAAAACGTTTGTATTTCTTCTTTCGGAATCAAGGCTGTATTTTTTTAATAATAATAAACAATTTACGCATTCGTGATAACAAGCTCATTAGGCTATTACATTTTCTTTAGTTTTTGCACACGAATCCACAACGATTTGTCCACCATGTTGGTATTTGTCGCACTCACGTACGCAATGTTTTGAATCGACTCGTGCTCATTTTATTTTTGTTCCTGTACATTCATAGGCCTTTCAATGGTATTTTGTCATTCAGAACCAAAGGTACATTATTTAAAAATAAAGAACAATTTATACATAATATGAGATGAGACAGTTTATTATTAATTAGACGAACAAAAACATCTATCGGAGTATCACAACATCGTATGGTTTGACTTTAAAACAGGTAATCCAGTCTTCATTACGACCGTGAAAATAAGATTGTTTCGATACCGATTATCGATAGTAAAAATAACTCTCGATACCCAGCACTAATCGGCGACCATACATGGCCGTGGATAGTTAAAAATCGGCCATGAATCTGCTGCCAAATTCTAAAATTCGAAGGCCATTGCCGCCGAGGCCGTCGGCAGTGTCGAGCCCTGCTTGAAATGCATGTTTATATATAACCCAAAGATCTTGGTTCCTTTCGATATTCGTGCATATCTGATCCTAACTTCCTGAATTATGGCCCCTGATTGTACGGAATATCAGTTTTTAGCGTGTGGTCCCTCTAGAGTTCACAATTATTATCTAATTTAAAAAAACGTTTGAATATATCACTGTTACACCATAATGCTGGTTGAGTTCGAATTTGTGAAAATCGAACCAAAACTGCCATATTGTAAACATCTGGTATATCAAGGGTGTGGACCCTCTAGAGGTCACAATTTTGATCTGATTTTGATGAAACTTGAAATGCATGTTTATAACCCAAAGGTCTTGGTTCCTTTTGATTTTCGTGCATACCAGATCGTAACTTCCTGAATAATGACTTTTGATTGTACGAAAAATCGCATTTTTAGATTGTGGTCCCTCTAGAGGTCACAATTTTTATCTGATTTAAAAAAAACATTTGAGTATATCACCATTAAACCCTAATGATGACTAAATTTATTTCGTGAAAATTGGACCAAAACTGTAGGACAAAATGGCCGCCCCTCGTACTCAAATATTGGAAACATCTGGTATATCAAGGTTGTGGACCCTCTAAAGGTCACAATTTTGATCCGATTTTGATGAAACTTTAAAATTAATGCATGTTTATAACCCAAAGATCTTTGTTCCTTTCAATATTTGCGCATCTCGGATCGTAACTTCCTGAATTATGGCCCCAGAATGTACGAAAAAACGCGTTTTCAGCTTGTGGTCCCTCTAAAGATCACAATTATTATCCGATTTAAAAAGACGTTCAAATATATCACCATTACACACTAAGATCTTGGTTCTTTTTTATAATCGCACATATCCGAACGTAACTTCATGAATTATGGCCCCTTATTTATTATTGTTCGAAAAATCACATTTTTAGCTAGTGGATTCTCTGGAGGTCACAATTAAATAATTTTTTTTCCGATTTTAAAAACCGTTTAAATATATCACCATATATATTTCTATGTTTCGGGAAACTCAAAGTCGAAATGAAACTGTCTGACAAAATGGCCGCTCTTTGTACGCAAATTTTGTAAAAGTATGTATACGAAGGTTGTAGACCCTCTAGAGGTCACAATTTTAATCTGATTTTGATAAAACTTAAAACATATCTTTATATCCCAAAGATCTCAGTCACTTTTGATATTTGCACATTTCAGACCATAACTTTCTGGATTATTGCCCCGATTGTACAAAAAATAGCGTTTGTTTTTAGCTTGTTCTCTATCCATCTCTTGCAAAATGTGGGCATATCCTGTCTGGCAGCTGCTGGTTAGAAGTATTTATTCCCTTTTCGAATTAATAAAATTGAGTCTTGGTGTGTAAGGTAGATGTGAAACAGGTAGAGCTGCAGTATACAATAGTGTACTTATTTTTGGACATGGTGGCCATCCAGGGCAGAGATATATTCTCGAAGTAGATAGTTCTCTGTGTAAGCTTGTTCTCAGTGTAAGCATACAGAATGAACCATACCTTACTTGTGTTTAAAATCATTGTATAGATGACATTAATTCTTTATGTTGTAATCCTTACAAACTTGTATCTATATACACAATATTTCATGGGTTAATATTGAACATAAGTAGACACAACTTGTTTAAATAGTGAGGCTATGTATTTCACCCTGAAATGAAACCGATAATTTGATTGTATACTGATCTGAATCCAAGTACCGTAGCCATTTTTTCACTTTTCAACATTTGTCCTAAACTTGAACAGAGTATCAACTTTATTTGCGACCTTTGGCATTGAGTAAGAGTTTAATTTGTTCATTCGTATACAGTATACATAGTATATTGATCAATAAGATCACACACCAACATAATGGTTACACTAAAATTCACAGGTAACAGATTCTACTTCTAAAGGTTTTCAGTTTATTATTATTGTACTTGTGATGTTAATTAAGATCCTTGATTAGTTTGATATGGGACTTTGACTATGTTAGCTGAATTTGTACTTTGATGTGAATAATATTTACTAAAATTAAGAGAAATAGTTATGTAGTCTTTTTTGCTCAATTAGATGCCTTCATCAAGCACTGTGATTTGTTCTATCAAATTTCATACATGACATGTACAAATGTACATGTATGTCTGTAATTGTGAAATGTATAATTGAAATGCATTTTTGTTTGTATCGATTGGATGTGTTAGGAAATTATTGATCACTCCATTTGTCTTTAATAATTGTTGTGAACACAGTAGAAGCTACAATAATCGTCATTCTTATCTTATTGAAATTAATATGGGTTGGCTATCTCATTGAAATGAAGCATCCTGTTCCTATTGATTTTCAAAGTTCTTAGATTGATAATGAACTCCATTTATAGAGTTATGTCCCTTTGCTATGAAATCTTTCTGTATTTGGTATTGGTTGTACTTGTACATCCTATTGAATGGAAGAATCCTATTGGTTTTCAACAATTTTAGATAACTTCTCTGAAGTTATTTCCCATTGTTACGAAATCTTGGTGGCTGGTGGTTGTATATTTTATTTTAATTGTTTGTTATCACAGGTTGATGAACTACAATGTAGGTTAATTCTGAAAATCCTTAACAAAAAAATTAATTCTATTATAACCAAATGGTCAATTACCAACTTTCATAACCAGATTAGTACAAAAGTATTTAATCATAAGACTACTCAGTAAGGTTAATTACCAGTGTAGATTTTCATTTTGTTAGGCTTACAATATTATTTCTATAATCCATTTTATTTTATGATCAGTAGTGGAATACCGCGTTTTATCAGTGAAATAAAAGTGTTATTTCACTGGCTAGTTGTTTTTACCTAAAATGATTGTAAAATCAAAAATAAAAAGAACATTTGTCGTTTTATCGTGAATAACTTTTTTTATTTCATCTCTAAGCAAGAAAATGTTTATATTTTCACTCATGCTACGCATTTGTGAAAATATAAGTTTTCTTGCTTCTCGATGAAATAAAATATGTTATTCACTCTAAAACGACAAATATCCTCTATGTATACTGAGACACATGGATTGTAAAGTTTTCAATTAAACATTGATACTTTTCAGCCAGACTTTTAATCTATTTGTTTCTGGCTGTGATGACTGAAGCCAAGGATTTATTTAATAATTGACTACTCTATATAACAATAAATAAATTTTAAAATGTGTTAAAGATGCATTATGTATGTGTACCCAATGTAATGTTTAGGTAATATTTAGATAAAGATCTGTCCGTTCTTGCAATGATAGTTACTGGTCGTTCTTGCTATTAAGATCAAAACTAGATAACAACAAATGAATATAGTGAAGCAGTAGCATAGATATTATAGTGACAACGGCACTTGACGATCCACTCTATGTCTCGATTATCCATCTTATTGTTAAATTTTAAAATCTTGCATGTGTTCTAATCCATTTAAATCTCAGCCATCCAATAATTTGTATAACATTTGAAGCCAAAAGAAAGACATACAATAGGCAGATTTAGCTCTTACAAATGATGAAATATAAATTATTTTAATATGTCAGGAAGATCTTTATAAGCTTTTCATTATTATCAATGACTACCACTTTGTATAATTAAACTATTTGATTAGTAATGAAGTAGTGATATTTGAGCTAGTTATCAGTAGGACGATTAGAACTACCTGAGATAGTTGATAATAAATATGCTTGGTATGCTATAGATGGTGGCCTCTAGGTGTTTACTGACACACTCAAGCATGACATGAAAGGTAGGCTAGGGACAACTCATTTATTATTGGTTAAAATAGGTGTCTATAAATAGCTTCCTCTCTTGAATAAACAGGTCAAAATTTAAGCAGTGTTAAAATGTGAGTTAGAAGATAGAGAGGTAGTTTATTAGGTATATATAGATAGATATATTTATGTATAATATAGAGTTATGGCTGTATTGGTATATTTATTCAGTTGCTAGTATAAATGTTAATTAGGAGATACGATAGTATTGATTTTCTTATTGTAGGTAAATACATGTATAGATACAAGCTGTATATATTGTTGTTACTGTGTTAAATATAATATTATCTAGGTTAAACAGCAGGTACAGGACGGTTTCTAGTCATTGCACTGATCTTTATACACTATCCTAATTTGTTTCTTGTTTTTCATTAGCGAGTTATGAATGTTTGACATTTTCCAGTTTAAATAGATTATATAACATTGTGTAGGTCAAGTCAAGATACACTAAACTCGTCTTAATACAAAATTATTTAATACATAATGTCAACTATGAATATCATTGAATATACTGTCCTGAATTATTTCCTTGTTTTATTTCCTTCAAGAAAATAAATGTAATTATATACATGTATAGATACAAATACAAGATACTTGTATAGATATATGTAATACAAATAAAATCAGTGCATATCATATGTAACTTATGAGAGAAATAATGTTTAATTTCTTAAAGTATTCACATGTATTTAAGTACTTATTGAGTTGGCATGCTCAATACTCTGTATTACAACAACTATATATATGTATGTAGAACTTTATTTCTGTTCAATTTAACTGATTATTTGTTTTTTGCATGTATATTTTCAGCATTAGTATGCAATCAGTTGACAGTAATGTGAGTGAGAATATAAGTAAAGATTTACCATCTCGATCTAACGACTTTGAAGAATTTATTGACCTATCTGTACCTAGTAAAAATGTGGATCTGAAAACCAATCAGCTTACAGATTCTCTTGTTAAAGAAGCATCCAATGATTTACTCAATTTTAATAATATAGAAGAAAGCGAAGAACAAGAGAACCGAACTCCTTTTATTGCCTTTGAAGATAACACAAATAGGAAGCAAGATGTCCCAGGTATATAAACAATAATTGTCTTGTATTCCACAAGTAATATACATGTAATTTATATAATAGTGATGAGATTGCATACCGGTATAATAAAAATGTCATCAAATTGCTTGAGGATATTATATAGGATTATTATAAACCTCTTATACAGTGAGGAATAAAATCTTTCAATGCACGCTCTAATTAATGTATTAATTTTGACCTATCATCAGTCGCATTGATTTTTATACCTATTCTTGTTCACTAACCTGAAAGCAGACTTAGTATTTTGAAACATAAAACCAATCAATACCAGATGATATATGAATCAATGTTATTGACACCATAACAGTACCATTATCTGGTAAATCATGTCTTACTTGGTTGTACATGCACATACGGTAATACAAGATGCAGGTGATTTTATGAAAGGATAGGATAGCATTAATTTCAATATACCCCCCACCCCACCCATAATAACACATAAATTTCTTGTCTTACAGTAAGCCAAGTGCATGTAATATAACCAAAAAATCTTTAAATTTGTATTTTTAGATCTTCTCTCGTGATGCTGAGACCACAGTGGATGATGATGCACCACTCAATGTCAATCTTGGATTGACCCAGCAACATGAAGAGGTTTTAAAGGACATAATTCCTGCCACCATCACTATCAAAGAGGCCAGCAGTTCCAAGCTTTATGTACCTGTTAGTGATAATAACAGCCTAATTAACAATGTTGCCCCTTCATCGGTTGTTGTATCAAACTCTAAACTAGATAAGCTATGGCAACACGTGGAGTCCATCATGGCACAAAATCAGAGAAAAGTGCAACATATATTAGAAGAACATGGTATTGGGGATGGGGATGAAGATAAAGACAGTGAGGAAGGACAAATATGGAAATTAATAGAAGGAAAGTCGCCATATACCATAAATTTAGTGTGACGATGCATGACCAAGTTAGTTGTTTTACTGCTGGGAATAGTTATATACTATGTATATGCAATAACAAACTGATTATATATGGAAATAATTGTTTGAAGTTGCCATAGCTTATTGTTCAACAGGAGTCATTCTTGCCTTTAGGATGAAATACTGGACTCTGGTTCTTATTTTGTACATATATATTTTATCCATGTTTCATCCATGTACAGCTTCAAGTACAACATGCTGAAATAAATTAACAAAAAAAAAACTTATGTGATACCAATATTGACCTGAGGTATATGTTTACCATGTGCTGTGTTGTGCTCTAGTCTTGTCCTCATTACATTTGAATGTTGTACTTGCAGCGCTAGGGCAGGGCTTTTTGTTGTGAGTGGTATATATGTTGCTAATAAAAGGTGGTTTAACTGTATATAACCTATTAGACTTTATATATAAATGTCATATACATTCAAGCAATGTTCCGGTTATGATAACTAGTGATGTATGGTATTATGTAAACATATGTTATATATGATATCACTATTATTAAATAATTAACTATATGTTATTTAAACTAAAACGTGTGAAAATGAGAGATGTAAATTATGTGAAGAGTGCTATTTACATGTCGCTATATTTCCTTCTGTTGTACTATCACAGATCACCATTTCTCTTGATTAAATTAGAAACTTTAAAATAATTGTAAAGGTTTAAATCAAAACTTGCATTTATATTGGTACATGACTTGATATTTAATGAGACAAAAACATTCAGTAAAATTTTCATAATGAACTAATGAATTTAAAATTTGTAATCGAAGTTAGTGTGCTGTGATGCTTTTATGCATGATATCTGCATCGTTATGGAATATATATCACGTAATTAATTATTTATCTGTGTAAAACTTTAATGGTAGACTAAGGAGGTAGAATTCTGTGTCTGTTGTTACTGCCATGTTATGATGACCTACTGACAATATTAAAACATTCTACACTTGTTACAGAATGTGATATATTTTGATGTGATACATTTATTACAGGTAGATGTGTGCGTGTGTGATGTGTGCTTATTAACTTCTCATACCTTGAGTTGTCATTAATAATTGTATGTATTAATAAATTTAAAAAAGTATGACTGTATCCTTTTAAATAACTACTCTTTAGCTTATTTAAGGATTAAATATGTAAAGATACATTATGTAAGATTTAGATAAACAGCTGACCATTCTTGCTTTAATAGCTCAAAAATAGATAATGTAAAATGAAAATATTGAAAATTTCATTCTAATTACTTTATTCTGAGCCAAATTATCACTGTTTGTAGTTTTGACAAGATGTGTGCAGATTTAACTCTTGCATAATGTATGTTTAATGTGTGTATTCAAGGAGAGAAGGAATTATTGAATGATATTTATAAACTAGTTTGTGAAGCAGAAGGCTATTTCTAGTGTCTTCTGTGTTTTTTGTAGATAATTTATACTATGTATATTATACCTGAATTTTAATTTCAGGAACTTGTAGTTCCTATATTCATGTATATTTAATTAAGAACTGAAAGGAGACAAAATACATTAATTTTAATTAGAAAATACACTTGAAAGTTAATCTCATTTATTTTAATGATATGGGAACACAATATTTATCTATTAGAAGATCATATGATTAGATAATTATTATTAAATTTAGTTTTTATATTTTATTAGTTTCATACCATTAGTAATAAAACCAGTTCAAAAGAGAATGTATTGTAATTAAACACTTACATTGTTTGTTTAAAGTGTCATAATAATCAATGTATACATAAGCAAGCAGTGTTGTCGTTATTCTAATTGTGTATGCAACTGTACAGATTTTATGTATGGCTATGGCTCTTTCATTTATTAACATTAATGTTTTGACCCTTGCTGTAAGCTTTCAGTAAAAGTCTTTAAAAAAATCTTCCACAAACTGAGATAAAATATTTATGATTATTATATTTGATTTGAAGACATCTTGAGTAAATTCAGTTATTTTCCTGATAATGACATGGTCAGTAATTCACATAATTTTATTCTCTTTTATATCAATTATATGGTGATTGTTAAGTATTCATATGGAAATCCAAGTCTTATTAAACAGTTATAATATAAATGAATATCATATTTATTCCAATTCCATATATTATGAATATGTTTATACTTTAAAAACAATAACTATATATATATAAACAGAAGTAAGTGTACAATGCATCTTTATTGCAGTGTCTTAATTTATAGGAGCTCAAGTTATAAGAAGTCATCTGCACATCTGTATTAATTTCCATCTTACACAGAGTGCTGTATTTATTTGTAAATTTATTTGCTAATTTGTTTCCTATTTCTGATGTATGATGGTTTTTATTGATATAAAGCTATCACAATAAATCCTTTTTGTTGTCAATATTGTAAATAATACAATTCCTTTGCACCAGGCAAAAAATACCTTAAACAAGTCAGTGACATGGCTCTTGTTTTGATTTACATACTATTGCCTCAATAAACTTTATAGAATATCATGGATTTCGATAGCATTGTGTGCTCAGAAAATAAATCCTGTAAGAATTTGCATTAGTGTAAAAGGTGGATATATTGTCGGAGGTGCACAAGCTTTGGTGTAATTTGAACATATTAACTAAGCAGAGTAAAAATTTAAAGCAGTAAGTAATTTTTTTAGCTGCTTTAGTCTTGCCAGGGCCCGCGACAGGGCCCACAGGGGCCGTGACAGAGTCCACAGGGCCCTGGGATGAGCAACTTGGCAAGAGGGGTTCTCCCCCTTCAAGCTCGAAAATTTTTGAAAGATACATGGTCTAGTCTAGCACCATTTTGTCATATCTGGGGTAACTGAAGGTCACTTTACTAAAACACAGAAACTGAGATGTAACACAACATATGACATACCAAATACATGTAATACATTTCAGTTTACTGATGGATACCCTTTCGGTGATAGACCCTCCCATGAAAAACACCCCCATGAAAAATTTTGAAAACTAGAAGCCCGGAAACGCCATTCTCAACAATCTGAGAATATGGTAATGAAATACTCTGATTTTGTAGTGATAACATTTGCTTTATGATGAAGCAAAGACAACAGACATTGAAAGATATGCAACTCAAACTTCAAGATTTAAAAGGGTACTTTTTGTTAACTTCACAGCTTCTAATAATCTGCTATTTAAAGCGAGAATTTCATATTTTCTAAGAAAGTCAAAACATAATTATTTCTGTCTTTTGCTCAATAGGTTGTCAACTCACTATTATAGGATCATAGGTACATCATTTTCACACATAAAATCCATTCACCCCGGAAATAATAACACAATTACCTCCCTTGTTTTTCTATTCCCCCATGGAATAGCTATCTTCAAACGTCAGAATTTGAAGTTGAAAATGATATTTTTGCCAATTTCTCAACTGGCAATAGTGAATTATAGGATTAATAGGATTATTCTTTATCAAGGTAGGACTGTTTATAGATACCATCTATTTTAAGGCTTTATTTTAATACATTTTAAAAATATAACTTTAAAATATGAAATTAAAGTTTAATTTAATTTGAATCTCACATCTCTCCAATAATTTTTCATCAGTGAAAATATGCGCTCAACATAAGCATTGCAAACCGGCATGGAAAGAACAAAGTAAACTATAATTTGATTAAATTTGCTGGTGTAGCGGACGACACATTAATTGAAGAATTTATCACTTCCATCATCATAGGCCTTAGATTATAATGTCCATATTTTCATCAATTTCTCGCCCACGTAAATCAAGCATGTTTTCCAAAACTACACGTAAGTTTACTGCGATACTTTACACGTAAAACTTACAGGTGTACGACTGCTATGACACACACGTAAACTAACGAATCGTGTATTGCATATGCAAATAAAATGTTTGAGAAACAGAATTATAAGTTTAGGTCTAAAAATAATCGTAGGAATCTTTGAAAAAATGTGATGTAGATCTAATACCGAAACAAATATCATTCATGCATATTACTGTATAGAAATCTTGCATGTGAGCAATTACAGGAAATTTTAGCTGGTTTTCGGGACGCGGGCACTGATCAGTGGACGCGGGACTGTGTTCAAACAAACGATATTTCGTTTCGTATATATCTGCATTACCAAATATTCACATAGGCTGTGTATGTGTAGGGTATATTCTGTTGGTATCTCCATGCCCTTCTACAATGATCTCAAAACACGCGATTTAATCGGCGTTAGTCTCGATTATTCCAGCCACTATCGCCTTGACAAATTAGCAGTCATTGTGTAAATGGAACTTACCGGTTTACCCTCTTACTAATATTAAGACATATCTAATTATGATCTAGACCTGGATTGTGACGCCATTCTCCAACCCAAGGGTGGTTTGTATCCGGCTGATTTGGGTCATGGCTAATCCGCACCTGGCTGACTGGGGACTGGGACTAGCTTAGCTTTCTTGGATCAGATTCTTACTGATTGCTGTGATTGTGAGCAGATTCTTGGCTGACCAGGACCTTGATAAGGCTGGTTGAGACCATTAAAATTTGTTTGCACGTAGCTAATATCAATATATAACAAAACTAGTGATTGATTAGGTCAATAACAATGAGCTACATGTCCTTCTAGAGGGGTTGTTGAGTCGTGTAAGACTTAGGGTAGCAATACAATAATACACACCAACCTAGATAATTAAATCACACCCTTTAATTGTTAATTAATGACTATCCTGCTAATCCAATAAATAATCAGATGTCGGACAAAATACCTACATGTATTAGTGGTTGTCAGTGAGATTTGAGTAAACTTCATTTTTGGCCAAATTAATTTTCCGAGCAAGGTTAGCCTAACATTTTGATAGATTGTCTACAGATCATTTATTTTCATAATAATATAGTCTGTGTTCAGATTGGGTCCATAAATCTAGTTTATGTTTAATTTCTAAACAATTAGGTAAGCCTATTCATCATTTATTCTCAATAATATAGTAAATTTTTCATCATACTATTGGTATTGTTTTCTAAACTTGTTTAACTTAAATTGGCGTAAATAAAAGCTCAACTTCAACTTCAACTTCTTTATTCTTCAAAACTATATATACATAGTTATTGAGATAATGCAAATTTATATACAAAGTTCAAAACTTAAATGACATGTGCGAACAATTAAGTGATATCAATAATTAATAAATAATATTGACAATAACAATAGTGGTGTATATCATGCAGGGGGATTAACTTCTGATGTAATGATTTGAATGAGTCGACATAACTTCTGTAATAAACAGTGTTTTTACAATTAAAAAGACTTTGAAATTTGAATATATTAGGACGATTTTGGCACCAATCTGGCAATAATCTTTTTCTTTCAGAAGAAAAATGTTTACAATTTAAAATATAGTGGAATTCGTCACCGATGTCGGCTGAGTCACAGACACGACAGAATCTTTCGTTTCTTGGTGTTTTATTCCATCCTTACTCAATCGGTAATCGCTGACTCCCAAGTCTGAATCTAGACAAAGTTCGTATGTATTATAATGTTTTTTAAAATATGGTTCTAATTTGATATAGTTTTTAAATATTTTGTAACAAAGACATTTTGGTGAAAGTTGTATATCTGCTAAACATTTTTTTGTAAAAATTGATCAGATAGTCATGATAATTGATAATATAGTCTAGATAGTCTAACTTTGTTAGATACGTATGTCTTAAATTGCAGTTTCCAGCATTGTTTTTTTTTATCGTGGTGGTCAGGGGGTTGGATGGCCGAATGGTTAGCACGTGCGCGCTGTATCATAAGGGTTAAGTCACAGAGTCAACTGGCGTGGTTTCGATTTTGCGGTTGTACGTAACGTGTCAAGGACTAGGGTCGCCTGTCCAACCTCGTGGGGTTTCTCCGGGTCCTCCAGTTTCCTCCCACTGCTAAAGCGAATTATTGAAATAAAATTGAACTATATGTTAGTCCCGAAAGACATAGTTTGTGTCGAGTGGACGTTAAACCCCATCTCTCTCTCTCTCTCTCTCTCAAGGTGGTCCCAATATTCCATACCGTGGTCGCAAACAGCTACAGATGTGGTCAGAATCAGCTTGCTTTGGTGGATTTGAATTTGACTGGGGTGAAAATCTCACTTCCGACAATCTCACTGCAGAAAGACACTTTACACCCCCATATATCCCTCCGCTCTAATCAGTATTACCCAAAACTGCCATGAAATTGCAAATTTGATCCCTTTTCTCCAATTCTAGGCCAAAAAGTCAACCAAAAAATGCAGGAAGAGGGGAGACAAATATTAAGGAAAAAATTGTCTATTTTATCATGAAATAAGGGGAAGTAATTACTAGTCTGAGTCCATATCGAAAGGTTAGAAATTGGAGTGTGTGGCTTGCCCAAAAGAATCGTCCTTTGTGCTTTTCCTTCATTCGGAAAAGCGAGATTAAAATGAGTTGTATTATCACTTTATTGTTGAAGCAGATGTTAAATCAAATTATTTCACACACACAAAATGAGTAAAATCAGCCAAAGATTTACGTTTAAATCACATAACTTCTAGTGTTCAATTTTGAAAGTTACAAAAATTATATTGCGTTTCGTATATTTTTATACCAACTTTATTACAGCTTTCATCAAATCGAAATTGAGGCGCCAAGTTCATGTTATGTTTGTCAACGGCTTCTGCATTTAGAAAATTAAAGATTTAATTTTAATTCGCAGTTAATTCCAGATAAACATGTCGTCTACGATAAAGGCAAAAACACGGAGACGAGATAGAAGTTTAGCAGTTTTAGCCCCAGTTGGTACCAGAAGCTCAGCCAGAGTTAGACAATCAACAGGCCGAGCATCATCAACATCAACAAGTGAAGCCGAATCTCAATCTTCGCCGGTTAAAAAAGTACGAAGAAAATCAGCAAGATTTCTTCCATTATTAAAACAAGCTTATGATGCAGACAAAGAAAATTCTTCAGGAAGTGTTAGTGAAGCAAATTCATCACCTCAACTCACAGATGAATATGAATTTGATGAAATAGATGTTACACCCATAATTGGCAAATCAAACAAAAAACAAAAGAAAACTGTGAAAAATGTCAGCAAGCTGGGGACATCTAAGATAAAACCAACAGACAAAAAATGTACATCCAACAGAACTTGTTCTTCCAAAAGTTCAACAAAAACTATGGGCTCAAAATTAAAAAGCTCAAGAATCTCTCCAAGTTCTAGTACGCCAGTGTTTTCTGAAATGGATAATAAACAAATGGAAAGAAATCATTCTAAAAGGCAAATAACAGATGTGTATTCCGAACAGTCTGTCAATAAAAGACGAAAACAGAACTCACTCAAACTGAATACCATTACAGATGGTACATTGATCAAAACACAGAACAATAAAACAAATGGTTCACGATCGTCCAAGAGAAAATTGGCAGAAACAATTAATATCACACCGATTGTTCGTAGAAAAATAGAAAAACCAAGAGAAATGGACAGTGGTATGTTTATCTCTCCACCCCCCAAGAAACTATTGAGATTAACAGCAAAAGGCACTTCTACACCCAGTGAAAATCTTACATCTACAATAAATGATAGCAGCAATGTCAAACTAGGTTTTGATGAATCAGTATCATTGCTGTTTTCTCCTGTGGAAAAAGTGTTTAGTCCCAGTCCTACCTCAGACTATTGCTCCATTGATTACTCTATCCCACAGTTTTCTTTAGGTGATATTTCAAAACCAGCCTTTGAGGATGAAGATCAGTCAGACATAAAAATGAATAAAAGTATCAATATTCAATACAAACCTACTAAAGTTAAGATTGATAAGGTTAAAAAAACAAAAGCAAGATATTCAGTGTCAAAGGTGGATGCATGGGCAGAGAAGGTTAACAACCAGTTTGATGAAATTGAACGATTTGAACTCAGCATTGAAGACTGATCTAACAAAAAATTTATGGTACTAGGACTATTGTTTTTCAAATTTACTAATGTACTACGGTATTCAAAATACCTTACATGTAGTTTAAAGCAACAAATATTTCACCTAGTCATTTAACACCCAAAGCAAACTTGGATTCCTTTTTCTACGCTATATGGTGACTGAGCATAGATCTACAAATATGCAGATTTCAGTGCCAAAGTCAATTAGACTTGGTTAATAGACTTTTTAGTTTTCATTTAAATAGTGTGTTATTTGTTAAGCTATTGTATTAGACCTAGACCTCTAACTGTTATATACATCACCGAAATGGGCAGCAGAAATATTTGACTGTTTTTTGAAGTAATAATGTGTCTGATTATTGTAACATAGTATTCAGAAGGATCTTTGTAATTATTACAATACTAGCAGGATATCTGGATTCACCAGGGGCCCAAATTCACCAGAGCCCATTTCTCCAGGTGCCCAAATTTAACCAGAACCCAAATTCGATAGCCTAAAACAGTCACAGTCATGCTGGTTAATTTGATAGCACGGGGGTGGAGTGCGGCAAAATTTGATGGCCTAAAACATTCACAGGGTCATGCTGGTTAATTGGTGTGGAGTGCAACCACGAAGCATGATGGGCTGACACACACACATACACACAGACATCTTTGATGATTTTATTTATATATAGATAGATGCAGCAAATTATGATAGTAGATTTTATGAACTTTTCACTGTTGTATATAATTGAATAAGTGTATGTTTGTAGTGTAATACTAATAATAATAAACATGAAAAATACAGTAACGTTTTTAAAATACCAGGTGTGTTTACACCGCAAGAAGCTTGAGACCCCATCACATTCTACATTTATTGATGAAGGGATTGTTAGAAATGCTTATATCCCGATTCCAGAAGGACATAAGTCTGAACTTTTTAATCAACTGAAAGTCTGGTTTGTTTTTAAGGGCGTACCTGGGGTTGTAACATGGATGGGTAATCTTCCTTTGTTCTTTTAGTTGAATAAGCAGATTGTTTTCCCTCTAGTAGATTGGGTGGAGCTTAACCGTGCAATAACTAGACATGTTCAATTTTATTGCACACTTTTACTGGTTTACACTAGTTTTAGTAGAAATCATATCTAAGTGGGGTGGGTTTTCTGTGCAATAACAATAAGCATGTTGAGCAGGTGTTGTCAATGTTACAAGTCATTTATAGCACACTTCATTAGTTAACAGGTTTAACCCCTCGGCCTTTGGCCTCTGGTTAAACCTGTTAACTCATGAAAGCCGTGCTATAAATATAAATTGTCACGAGTAGGGTATGTTTTTCTGGTGGGGTGCTGTGATTTAGTCTGATGAGAGGGCCCCTCTTACCACCCGATAGTCCGGTATAATGTGGAAACATGGCATGGACTCATTGGCTTCACTCAGGCTCGTTTGAAACTCCTCATATCAAGCATTTTATGCGACTGACAAGGGTCTCCCTCCCCAATATAATGTCAAACATTAAAGGACAATATTGGTGCCAGTCATTATCATATATGTGATAGAGCTGGTTAAACACATTCCAAATATAATTTTAACACAGAGATCATTGCTACGATAGCTGAGTAATACAGGTTTCCTGAATCGGAAGTGACGAACGCCAAAGGAAAACACGAGTCATACCTCTATATAACTGACTGATGTGACGAGTGATAACAGATACATGGCCAAATTTCTGCTCACTAATAATTACTTCCAAGACCAAAAGTTGTTATATGGGACTGTAAGAGGATACCTGACAATTCAATAAAGTAATTGAATGTCATTAGATAAGAGAACACGAGAAAAATAGAAATAGTCCGTACATTTCCTTGTTTATATTCATTCTATACCTTATAAAAACATGGTAATGCACGGACTTTTTCTGTTTTTCTTTTGTTTTCTCTTATCTAGTGGCAGTCATTTCTTTTTATGAATTGTCAGATATCCTCTCACAGTCTCACACAACAACTTTTGGTCTTGGAAGGAATTATCAGTCAGTTATATAGAGGTATGACTCATGTTTTCCTTTGGCGTTCGTCACTTCCGATTCAGGAAACCTGTATTACTCAGCTATCGTAGCAATGATCTCTGTGTTAAAATTATATTTGGAACGTGTTTAATTAGTTCTATCACATATGTGATAATGACTGACACCAATATTGTCCTTTAATGTTGAAGAATTGGTCACATAGAAGCACTGGTCTGATCCCAATAGGCAGACAATAAGTGGCGTTACCTCCCCTTAATTTACTGAAAATTATTAATCGGGTAATATCTTAGGGCTGGGGCTATTTGCCACATGTGGTAAGACAATCCGGAGACTATTTGCCACATGTGACAAGTCTCATTTCATGTGGCACGGCTACAGACCACAATTATCAACCGATTTCAATGAAACTTACAGATTATAATAAGAGTATTAATATCTCAAACTAGCTTTCGGCCACTTCCGGTTAACGGTTTCCGAGATATTAGGTTACCACACATTTCATGTGGCACGGCTACAGACCATAATTATCAACCGATTTCAATGAAACTTACAGATTATAATAAGAGTATTAAGAGCTCAAACTAGCCAAAATTTCGGCCACTTCCGGTTAGCGGTTTACGAGATATCAGGTTACCACACATTTCATGTGGCACGGCTACAGACCACAATTATCAACCGATTTCAATGAAACTTACAGATTATAATAAGAGTATTAAGAGCTCAAACTAGCCAAAATTTCGGCCACTTCCGGTTAGCGGTTTCCGAGATATCAGGTTACCACACATTTCATGTGGCACGGCTACAGACCACAATTATTAACTGATTTCAATGAAACTTACAGATTATAATAAGAGTATTAATATCTCAAACTAGCCAAAATTTCGGCCACTTCCGGTTAACGGTTTCCGAGATATCAGGTTACCACACATTTCATGTGGCACGGCTACAGACCACAATAATCAACCGATTTCAATGAAACTTACAGATTATAATAAGAGTTTTAAGAGCTCAAACTAGCCAAAATTTCGGCCACTTCCGGTTAGCGGTTTCCGAGATATCAGGTTACCACACATTTCATGTGGCACGGCTACAGACCACAATTATCAACCGATTTTAATGAAACTTACAGATTATAATAACATTAATATCTCAAACTAGCCAAAATTTCGGCCACTTCCGGTTAGCGGTTTCCGAGATATCAGGTTACCACACATTTCATGTGGCACGGCTACAGACCACAATTATCAACCGATTTTAATGAAACTTACAGATTATAATAACATTAATAATATCTCAAACTAGCCAAAATTTCGGCCACTTCCGGTTAGCGGTTTACGAGATATCAGGTTACCACACATTTCATGTAGCACGGCTACAGACCACAATTATCAACCGATTTCAATGAAACTTACAGATTATAATAAGAGTATTAATATCTCAAACTAGCCAAAATTTCGGCCACTTCCGGTTAGCGGTTTACGAGATATCAGGTTACCACACATTTCATGTGGCACGGCTACAGACCACAATTATCAACCGATTTCAATGAAACTTACAGATTATAATAAGAGTATTAAGAGCTCAAACTAGCCAAAATTTCGGCCACTTCCGGTTAGCGGTTTACGAGATATCAGGTTATCACACATTTCATGTGGCACGGCTACAGACCACAATTATCAACCGATTTCAATGAAACTTAGAGATTATAATAAGAGTATTAATATCTCAAACTAGCCAAAATTTCGGCCACTTCCGGTTAGCGGTTTCCGAGATATCAGGTTACCACACATTTCATGTGGCACGGCTACAGACCACAATTATCAACCGATTTTAACGAAACTTACAGATTATAATAACATTAATAATATCTCAAACTAGCCAAAAATTTCGGCCACTTCCGGTTAGCGGTTTCCGAGATATCAGGTTACCACACATTTCATGTGGCACGGCTACAGACCACAATTATCAACCGATTTCAATGAAACTTACAGATTATAATAAGAGTATTAATATCTCAAACTAGCCAAAATTTCGGCCACTTCCGGTTAGCGGTTTCCGAGATATCAGGTTACCACACATTTCATGTGGCACGGCTACAGACCATAATTATCAACCGATTTCAATGAAACTTACAGATTACAATAAGAGTATTATATCTCAAACTAGTCAAAATTTCATGTGGCACGGCTACAGACCACATTTATATACCGATTTCAATGAAACTTACAGATTATAATAAGAGTATTAATATCTCAAACTAGCCAAAATTTCGGCCACTTCCGGTTAGCGGTTTCCGAGATATTAGGTTACCAAACATTTCCTGTGGCACGGCTACAGACCACAATTATGTACCGATTGCAATGAAACTTACAGATTATAATAACAATAATAATAATAATAATAATCAGTGGATAATTGTGGTCTGTAGCCGTGCCACATGAAATGTGTGGTAACCTGATATATCCGAAACCGCTAACCGGAAGTGGCCGAAATTTTGGCTAGTTTGAGATATTATTAATGTTTTTATAATCTGTAAGTTTAATTGAAATCAGTTGATAATTGGGGTCTGTAGCCGTGCCACATGAAATGTGTGGTAACCTGATATTTCAGAAACCGCTAACCGGAAGTGGCCGAAATTTTGGCTAGTTGGAGATATTATTAACGTTATTATAATCTTAAAGTTTCAATGAAATCGGTTGATAATTGTGGTCTGTAGCCGTGCCACATGAAATGTGTGGTAACCTGATATGTCGAAAACCGCTAACCGGAAGTGGCCGAAATTTTGGCTAGTTTGAGATATTATTAATGTTATTATAATCTTTAAGTTTTATTGAAATCGGTTGATAATTGTGGTCTGTAGCCGTGCCACATGAAATGTGTGGTAACCTGATATCTCAGAAACCGCTAACCGGAAGGGGCCGAAATTTTGGCTAGTTTGAGATATTATTAATGTTATTATAATCTGTAAGTTTCATTGAACTCGGTTGATAATTGTGGTCTGTAGCCGTGCCACATGAAATATGTGGTAACCTGATATCTCGGAAACCGCTAACCGGAAGTGGCCGAAATTTTGGCTAGTTTGAGATATTAAGACTCTTATTATAATCTGTAAGTTTCATTGAAATCGGTTGATAATTGTGGTCTGTAGCCGTGCCACATGAATTGTGTGGTAACCTGATATCTCCGAAACCGCTAACCGGAAGTGGCCGAAATTTTGGCTAGTTTGAGATATTATTAATGTTATTATAATCTGCAAGTTTCATTGAAATCGGTTGATAATTGGGGTCTGTAGCCGTGCCACATGAAATGTGTGGTAACCTGATATCTCGGAAACCGCTAACCGGAAGTGGCCGAAATTTTGGCTATTTTGAGATATTATTAATGTTATTATAATCTGTAAGTTTCATTGAAATCGGTTGATAATTGTGGTCTGTAGCCGTGCCACATGAATTGTGTGGTAACCTGATATCTCCGAAACCGCTAAACGGAAGTGGCCGAAATTTTGGCTATGCTGAGATATTATTAATGTTATTATAATCTGTAAGTTTCATTGAAATCGGTTGATAATTGTGGTCTGTAGCCGTGCCACATGAATTGTGTGGTAGCCTGATATCTCCGAAACCGCTAACCGGAAGTGGCCGAAATTTTGGCTAGTTTGAGATATTACTAATGTTATAATAATCTGTAAGTTTCATTAAAATCAGTTGATAATTGTGGTCTGTAGCCGTGCCACATGAAATGTGTGGTAACCTGATATCTCGGAAACCGCTAACCGGAAGTGGCC